TATGTACTCCATGTAATTTAGTTTTATGTGTTAAAAGATATATAGACCCCCTCGATGAGCTTTGCTCTTGGGGTTAAAGTGTGAAGAATATGTTTAAATAAAAATATAAAAAAAGACAGGGGCATTAGTCGACGAGATTTCGTAGGCAGTCGGTGGTSCAGCGTGAGACTCACCTTTATGAAGGCTCTAAGTCTTCATATAAACTCATATAAAGAATACTAATAAATATGACTTAAATCGAGATCGTGTAACAAAAGTTAGAATAGACGATTTCCGAGATGCGCGAGCGCTTTCATAAATATCGCAGGCGCAGACATTAAAACGAGGCATTTTCGGCAGTGTGATAAGAAGCCTTTGAAAACTATAGAGTTAAAGGCGATTTTTAAAACCCTTGAAAAGAAGTGCCAAAGAGCTAAAGTTTATTTGAAAGTTATCTTTCAAATACTTTTGACAGCGTTCGAGCATCTCGGAAAAGATCTATTGCATCGAATGTGATCTAACATATCAACCAGACGGGTTTTATCACTTTTTCATGGCTAATTGTAATGGCTTACAGATTTTCTTTAATATTTACAGATTACAGTCTGATAACTTACATGTGATCAAAGGAGCTCTTGATGCCAAGATATTTACAGTCACGTGCAAAGTAATCCCACTTGTCGACGTCAATACCGTTGATCTTGTTAGCGACAATCTTCAACAATCAAGGTCGGTAGGAAAATAATAATAGTTAGGTATTAAAGTTATTAATTAGGTATTAAAAGTTGATAATTAGTTATTAATTTGAAGTTAATAATAAGTATTAAAAGTTATTAATTAGGTATTAAAAGTTAATAATAAGGTATTAGTAGTTAATAGTTTGGTATTAGAAGTTTCAGCGCGCTTTTCATGTTGCTTCAGCCCAAAGCCAAAGATTCTAACTTAATTTAGAAGGGTTTTTTTTAATTTTTTTATTTTTTTAAGTTAAATACTATTTTATTTGTTCTGTCCTATCAAAAGACAATAAGCRATCTTGGTTGTACACACAATCATAGATATTACAAAATTTGACATGATGGATGCTAAGTGCTGTGGCAATACAAGCAGAATATACGTTACACAGTGTTACAAATTTTTTTATGTTTAACAAGTTATATTCTTTGTGATTTCGGTCTTTTCCAGAGATATGTTGTTTTTCAATTTGTTTAAATAAACATCAAAAAGTAATGGCTCTTTTTTGCTAGAGGCAGTAAATAAGTAGTAAGTTAATTTAGAAGTTGCTGAGCACGGAGAAAATGATAACGGCTCTAACCATAACATGGTCATTAAGGACGTACTACGTGATGGGCAATCGATCCCATCCTCAGATTTTTCTTATATATTACAAATAAAATGAGCAAATTGAAAAAGGGGTTTCACTGACTTTAGATTGCACGGACGTTTGCCCTCAGTTTTGCGATGAAAACGCGCGAACCGGTACGCGTAACATCAAAACCGTGGGGGAAAGGCCATATTGTATCGTATTATCACATAACTGTAAGAAAATGACCCAATAATTGTCTAGCATTTACACTTTACGATGATTAGAAATATGAAATGTCATTGGGCAACAAGTGTGAACTTGTAGCCTTAGCTTCGCGTCAAATTCTATTAGCCCAACTATGCACAAAATATGTAATTTTAATTTGATGCAACATTTTCACCAAAGTTAGGTATTATGAAGTACAGCCTACGTGCCACACAGGCGTAGGTGATAATGATGAAGTACTTTGAAAACACGGGGGAAATGGGAATAACCGATTTCAGTTTGTTTCAGAGTTCGAAGAAGTAAAAAACTTCACTCTTGAAATTTTGCTAATCAAAACATTGGAATGACGTCAGCATGCACAATGAGCGCACGATGAGAACACATGCGTAGAAAGGATGCGCGCGTGCAATGACCATGAACGTCCTTCATACCTCGAAAAGAAAACGGTGTTTATTCTTTTCTCTTCCGACTTTTTTCCATTTCTAAAAGAAAAGAAAACAGCAGACATCGATATCAGTTGATTTAACTAGACCTTTATTTAAGAGTGGCACCCAATGAAAACTGGCCAATTTGGTGCAGTTTTACTCAAACTAAACTGAAATGAGAGACAGCAGCCAAAAATAAGAACAGTACTTTGTTTTGGGGGTTTAAATCGTACCAAAATCAACTTTCCCCGCACAATAAGGCCCTCACAAGTATTTCTCCATGTTATCAACCAGTCTTGTTACTATGCACTCGTTCCCAAGTTCAGCGTTTCAGCCCCACCCCTCCCCTCAAGAAATCAAACCCTTGCTCTCTAATCCTTCCTCCTTTGTAATGTCAACAAGGTTTAAAACGTATTATTCAGCGATAGGGTTTTTTCGAACACCTTTCCGTCGGTCAAGGTTATACTGATGCTTGAATAATAATAATAATAATAATAATAATAATAGTAATGATAATAATGGTAATAATAATGATAATAATAAGTGTAATAATAATTATAATAAGTGTATGTAATAGGACTCCATGCTGTCCAATTAAGTAATAATTGGACGAGCAAAATTCTGAGGACTGACAAAATTGGAACAGGCCATAGGCCGAGTCCAATTTACCAGTCAGAAAATTTTTTGAGTCTATTTATTTCTTGATTGGGGAGCATGAAATACCATTACCTATTAATTATATAGCTGCCTAATTAATCCACAATATCAACAAGACCTGTCCAATTTAGAAAATAATTGGACAGTTACCTATATATGGGATTAATGAGAAGCTGCATACTAATAATAATGATTAATAATGGCTGGGCTTGTTCGATAACGTTGATCTAATCAGCGGTCTTATTTGTCATCATACCTCTTCAGATTTTGGTGTTTTACCAGTCATTAATTTCTTGATAAAACATTTGTCTTCGTCACCGAGGCCGTATTCTTTAAACATGTCCTCGACATTGGGGTTCGATTCAATGAGATGGTCAAACATATCTTTACTGGCTTTCTCATGCTGAAAATGACTACAAAATTCAGAGATCAGATAAATGTGGTTATTGGGTCCAGGATCCAAATAATGCGGCTTTGTCCCAAAAAATACTAATTAGAAAAATAGCGACTATCAGGCTACTCCTGAGCCTTCGACCGAGCAATTACTCCCTACATGGACGGTGTAATAGTAAAATGAAAAATTTTATCAAATGAATAAAAAAAATAAACTTACCGACCATTTCAGCCCAGGTATCACTCTAGGAATAAAATCGTTGTCAAACATGTGGGAAAACGGTCCATGCCCTGACGAAGCACCAAATATATTACGTATAGTTTAGTAAACAAGCAGGAGTGTTTGTTTGTGTTTGTGTTTTTACCGAATTAATTAGGGGGCTTYAGAAATTTTTTTAAAAATAATACCAATGATGATAAGCCGAAAAGTAGCATTTCAGGCATCGAGCATTTCTTGTCATACGTTCTTGAATTTTAGGAAGACGTACTTCTTTGTACGCATGCCTAAAGGGATGACTTCATCGGGTATTAATCGCAATCGATTGTTTGGAATATAGCCATAATCACGAATTATTCACAAAGTATCGAATGATCAACAATTTCATATTTAAAACTGTGGAGTAATAGACCTTTTTAGTCCCTTTTTAGAATTACATTGGGGCAATGTTTTTCTATTTCAAACCACGTGTTGTTCCCTTGAGTATCACTTTTTTGTTAAATGGTTCACATGAGAAGACACATGAATATCGATACGACTTAAACGAAGAATATCATTCTCAAAAGAAATGGAATAATCATTACGTTTAAGGTGAAGAGGTCTGTTTAAAGCTTCAATTACTCACCCAAGTCATGACAAAGGCCGGCAATTTTGACGCATAACACGTCTTTGTCATCTATATTTAACTCTTCTCCTTGTTTCCTTCTCAAGCTTTCTACGAAATAGCCAGCAAGATAGGATGTCCTGTAAAAGTTKATTAAATACTAAAATAAATTATACTAGATGTACACTATATTGGCCAATATTGGCCTTTCCGAGGTTGCGCGGAAAGCTGATAACAAGTAGAGCGCGCTCTGCATCATGGGGCTGTTTTAGCGTACGAGCCTGAATTCTTTTTTTTTTTTTTCGTTGCTGCTGTTAAATATTTATTGAAGCAAGTSCGGTTTTACGAACAATAGAACAAACTACATGTTATACGAAAGAAAGCTTGGGAGGGCAAGTATAAACTTCTATTAGTTACAGACACTATTTTTCCAAACTTGACGCTACCTTTGACGTCGACAGAACTAGAACCTGGAAGACCTATTGTTCTAAATGCCGCTTTTACAATGTCACCTGCTGTTTGTAGTTTTTAATAAGTATTTAGTATTTGTAAAACGTTTGTGTTGGAGGAACTTCATATGGGACTCTTGTCCTTTCCCTTAACTAGTTTTTATTCTTTTTTACTTCCTTTTTTTCTTTTTTTGCATGTGTTTGGGTTTGTGGTTTCTTTTTTGCATAAAACTAGTCGTAAAGATAACAAATAGATAAATGAATAAGTTCGAGTACCGTCGATGTATAAAGCATAAACGGTGGATAAATTTGAACGCTGTATAATTAAATAAATATATATATATATATTATGCTGAGCTTTCGCCTTGGTCCTTCGTTGGAGTACGAATATCGCCGTACGTGAATGTTTAAAAAAAATTACATGTTAATTTAAATGTAAAAACTTTATTTCCAGGTGAACCTTTTAAAATTAGCAAAAAAATTCCAGACCCAAATACTAAACATATATAAATACTAACATTAGCTCATAAGTCCAATGATCCAATGATCGGCTTACCCTATTGAGTGTTCGAACCTGTTGTGCGATGCTCCCGGATAGACAAGATAAGTGCCACCTAAAATGAACCATTTTCATGATRAATAACAACACTTTTCTTTAGAAAAGAGAGCTAATATCAGTCGTCAATCGAAACGCACCCATCTGCTTGATGCAGCGAAGACGTTGAAATTGTTCCGTGTCGATGATAGTGACACATAGTGGATGCATCTCAATATAGCCATGAATAGAATCATTGAATACCTAATACAAAAAAAAATCACTTATTAGTGGGAACTAAAGATGAATCAAGTAAAAGGAGTTATAAGTGAAATCATTAGTGATGATGATGAAGTATTAAAACGGAGCTGTAGAATTAATCGATTCTGTGTGTGGTTCTTGGTTAGAAAAATGTTGCGATGCGATAAATTCAGTTTCCACTCATATTTCTTACYTTTGGTTTTTTCCTGTCTGCAACGTAAAGAATGAATATGAGCATACTATTTTTTTCTAGAATGTATTATTCTTATTATACTTCTACAACGAACTTCACTACTAACTAACTGAATTATCTAAATGTTTATGCTGAACAGGAATAATCGAGGCCTTTCAGAAATGGTTTTTTGTCAACTACAAACAACACTGAATATATCAACGCTAAATGAACCTCCGTGTTCCATCTATTCTTGGATCTTGGAATGACCTATCTCTTATCGCTTATCGCCTACTATCGCTTTTGACTTTGAAGTATGAAACTTTGTTTGGAAAAACACTGTCTCCTATACACTTTGCAGTAACTTTTACAGAGCGAAGTAGCATGCTGAAAAGGGCTGAGAAAAAAGGAGCGACGACTTCAGAACATATATAGGTATATATAGAGCGAATGCTGTTCAGTGTCGAGTTAGAAAGATTATTAGTTAGTTGAAGCCATTTTCTATCTTAAATAGAAATACATAAAATTGAATTCTATTCACATTGAATCGGACACGGAAAGAGAAAATGGTTTTTAATGTTCTCACTTACCGACCATTTCGAATAGAATTGTAGCGCAAGCTAACGATCGTTAGTTATCCTCGACACCAAATAGAAATGGCTTTAAAATTAGAAGCTGGAGTCTTTAAGGATCACAAAAACATAAAATGCACATTGTCTATATGCAGTATTTTGTAGTTTCCTTCAGACGTTAAGTAAATAATTTCCCACCAGCTGCCCTCAGACGATAAACATTTCCAAGAAATCGAGAGGGTTTTAGTGTGCGTCAATCAGTGTTTCCATGACATCTTTCAAGCTGGTTTGGTATGCTCCTTTCAACGATTAAAAAAAAACATTTATTCACCTATTATGGGACCAAGATTCTGCATGTATTTATAAATAGTTTAAAAAATTGACTCATATAAGACTGTGGAAGCAAGCGAACGATCGATAGTTATCCTCGCCATCAAGATAGAAATAGCTTTCGTTAAATTCTTTCAGGTTCGCTTTCGTTGTCACGTGATTGATTTTCCCACCAGCTGACTTTAGCCGATAAATATTTCTAAGAAATCAAAAATGATATATTATTAAAAGAAAGCGTGTTTCAAAGATTTACAAAACATTTGGCCATCTATTTTTTATGAGACCAAGATGTTGCATTGATGAACAGTTTCAAGAAATGACTCATATAGAACTGTGGAAGCAAGCGAACGATCGATAGTTAAGAGGGCGTCTCTGTAACAGCGTGCCACTCGATCTGGGCTCGAAAAATAGATTTCTTTTA